AGAGGTAACAGAAAAACCTTTTTTAATGATTCTTTATGAATTCTGTTCCTTCACGGTTAAAAGGCTGTTTCAAATTAATTATCTCTGATAAGAACGAGCCTTGTCAAGCTTGTGTAAGGCTGCTAAGGACACTAGATAAAGTTACTAAGAAATATTTCAAATACAAAGAGTCTCCAAACACCAACCAAGATATTCCAAACGTCCACCAGGCTTGAGTGCAAAAACTTCTTTGCTTCCTGCAAAGAACTCCGGTTTCTGAGCTGGCTTTTATCTCTTAAGGGAGGGGCCATTACCTTACTCCCGAGTCGCTCGTGCTGCTGCAGCTGCTCTTTCCTTCGAGCAGCCCTGCACACATGCGCACTGGGCACAGACCTGGATGTTTGAGAATCTCCACAGACAACTTGAAGATGCTGTTTAGTGTGACTATGCTATGCCCCCTTATTTGTTTGCAGGACCAGCTCATTTCTCAGCACTGGAGATTCTTGGCTGTCCTATAAGCTTCCCACTCTGTTCTGTGTTCTTACAAGCATAGAGAAGGATGATACCACAGATAGGCATGTCAGCATGCTTGAATAGTGGCATCAGAAGCAAAAAATAAAAACGCATTTGTTCAGAGAACCATCCATATATGTTTGGAATGCAGCTTTTTTGAATCTAAGCAGAAATCTTGAATCTTCAGAAAGTCTTATGGATTATTAATTGCGTTGCAAAATGTCAGAATGAAAAATAATCCTCCATAACCAACCCTGTCGGATAAAAAAAAAACGGGGAATCCTCTTTTATTAAACAACAACAACAAATCCTTGCTAAATGACATCAGAGACAAAAGTACACCAAGATTTTCTAGGGAACAATGTGGTTTTATATATAAATCTGAGGTAGATGCCAGTTGGATTTAATACTGATCATTGTTTATAAGGTTGATGAGTGTGCATTATAGCTTTTAGATTTTGCCTTAGAAATATTTGATTTTTTTTTATTGAAGAAAATGTTCTGAATGTACATTCTCCATTGATCTATCCAAGTTTTTTTTATTAATGGCAGATCCTAGTGTCTAGGTGTTAGCTAGTCCACTCTTGATCTCATTTTATTGCCTGGCTTTGAAAGATGCTTGGTAGTTTTAAATTTCAGCGGTGACAGCATAGTGGAGATTAATGGCCTGGTACAGTGTGTCTTGAGAAAAGGATAGGGGAGTTCATTTATACCCTATGACAAAACCTGTTCTTCAAATGTTCCTTTAGCTGTCATGTTCTTCCTTCACAGCAGAGTAATGCCAGAGGGAACAGGACATGTTGTAGTGGACTCTGAAATTTTGCTTTGAATTGCTATGTTTGCTTAGCTTTACACGATTTGGATAAAGGTATGATAGTCAAGAAGAATGACCGAATTTTTTTTAAAAAAACTTTGCAATGTGTTTATCTTTTTTATGCTTGATTTCGTAGAGCAGCATATATGTTAAATTGAGAAAAAAGGGGAAATCAAAAGTTGTGCAATGGTTTATAACAGTTAAAAGGCCAAGTGTTTCAACTTGAGAGAAAACATGCTTCTCCTATTAAGCATACTAGCAGTAATCTTATTATTTATTTATTTAGCCCTTTGCCAAGGCACAATATAGAATAACAATAATAGAATAATGAATTGTAGATCAATCCAATAAAATTAACTCAGAATCCAATAAACAAAAGTTAACATTAAAAAATCCAGCATGAAAGCAGTACACTTAAAATAGCATCCTGGGATAGCACTGACTATATATATATATATATATACATCCATAATAATATAAAGAAAGTGTTATCCTGGAACCATTAGATAGAGTAGAACACCCTGATTACATTAGCCGCTAATTAAATATAAAGATCTTTAAACCTCTTTTCTTCAGCATCACAAAGATGGCCAGATCTCTGAAAGCCTGGTATTGGGAGACAGCTACTCTGGAATAAGGAACCAATGTCCTGCAGAAAGGAACATAAGGAATTAGCGGAACTGTAGGTAGAAATGAGGGCAAACAGATACTGGGGAGTTTGTCACTTAGTACAAGCAAGAATAGTTTAAATTGTATTCTGGATCAAATAGGAAGCTAGTGAAAAGCTTGCCAGGGTATCAAAAGGAGAATAATGTGAAAGGTCCAGGAGAACCCAGACATACTATTCCTCACTAAGATCAGGGGATGGAGAGAAGAATCAGGAACACCTGCCAGGAGTTTACCATATTTAGGCATGACACAATCAAAGCAGACACCAATTTCAGTGCAATCTCCTCTGCCAAATCCCCTTGGATCCTACATATATTCATTAAATGCAAATAAAGTTAGAAAATGGACCAAAGTCAACTGATCATCAAGCAAGACATTGAAGGGTCTAACCATCAAGTTTGCTAGAAGTAAAAGGAAGGAATATAAAACTGGTTTACTTGACCAAGATTAAAATGCATATGTTAACCTTTAGTGGACTTTTCATCACATCAGGACTGAAATGACAACACTTTATGATCCAATTGTCCTCATTCTCTACGTACGTAGTATCCAATTGTCCTTCTCATCCTCTACATAGTATCCCATTTCACGCTCCTGGATTGCCCCATTTTCTTCTGCTTTCATGTCCGTGATGTTGAACCTATGGCACGCATGCCAGGGGTGACACACAGAGCCCTCTCTGTAAGCATGTGTGTTGTTACCAGCTGGTCTTCGTGGATGCCAGAGCACCGGAAAACAGCCTGAAAATAGCCAAAAACAGGCGTGCGTGTGCCAGCCAGCTTTTCTTCGGGTTTCCGGTGCTACGGCGTGTGCACATGCACAAGCATGTAGCGCATTCTGGTTTGAGCACTCAGTGCCGAAAAGGTTAACCATCACTGAGGTGGGTAATTGACTTCATCTAACAGAGCAGAAATCTTTGTTCTTAAGATTTTGTTATTGTATTGTAAGAATTCAGCCAAGTGTGGTCATTGAATAAATCATGGTTAATGGTGCAGTGTGTGCCTATCAGAACAAGTGTAGACAGAAGAAATGCTATGTTGTTTGTGAGGATGTTGACTTTGAACTCGATCTGCATTGCTTGAGATTGGAATATGTTTTCCCTAAAGAAAATGGGACTATTTTGGCTACTGGGTGGAATCTGTTCACTCATCTCTTTTCTTGGAGCTGGTTTGGCAGAATGAAGCCTGCAGTACAAATATATTTCCTTAGATTTCTAGAACATCTGTGGTTTGATTGTATGTCACTTTCCTGGCGGCTGGACTGCTCTGGCAACCTTCTTAAACTTGTGTAGTTTTATGGGTCTAAAGTGAAATCTAGATTTTATTGCAGTGTCCTTCGCACCTTATGGGTAGACAAGAATTTATACTTAGGCTGCGTTTCTAAATATATCAACTAGGGAGCATAAAGGAGCTGAATAAATATATATATATAATTGTGCTACTCAAGGTTTCTCAGTTTTCATTTGCTTTTGAACTTCTTGGCAACCATCTGAAAGCAGCGCTGATTATTTGCATTACAATCAACAGAGCAAAGTGCAGTTTATTTCCCACCATCCTTTTAATTCAGCATATTGGCAAATTCCAGAGCGGATTAATTTTAACAGTTCCCATTTGCAGACACTGAAAAAAGAGCTGCAGGGAGTTACACAGAGTTTCAGATGCACAAATAGATCCTGACTGTTCTAAAGAAAGAAATCAAAGTTAAAAATTGGCTGGTACCTTAGTGAGCCGTTCATGTTTTTACAATTGTGTCTGTTAACTTGCTTTTAACTCTTCTTCCCCTAGTATTTCTGCCCTTTCTAACTGTATTTTTTTTGGGTGGTGGTGGTGGTGGAATCTCTTAAGTCTCTCTTGCTGTTTTTCCTTCCCTGTCTCTTTTCTCCCCAAGTTACAAATAAATACCTTATATGTTTTCCTACATCAGACACGTTCCTCTGATTGTCCCTTTGCATTAAATTTCTCTGCATTTTGCAAATGAATACAGCGTGCTCTGGTGTGCATAACATAAAATCAGACAGGATAAGTGTACAAAGCCAGGAACAAGAAGGCAAAGAGCTTAATCTGTCCAGACACACAGGACATATCGGGTATCTGGTGAGTGGGCACGGTGCAAAATGCTTTCGTGTCTTCCTTCCATAGATCATCATCTCAGCAGTTTTTAGTTTAGGGTCAGGGATTGGGAGAGAAAGAGAGCGACAAAGGTTTGTTGGAATGGGAGGCATTCCTGGTCTGTGGCTTATTCTGCAGGCCCCTACCCCTTTCCAGTTATTAAATGCCAAAGCCCGTTATGATTTCAAGTTTGCGCAACAGCAGCTTGTAATATCCCAGAGCTCCTCCATAAATAGGCCTGCTTTCCCCACACCCATCTAGAAAACAACCACAGGAAGCCAAGGACGTGCAAGCCAAGCCAGCCCAACTCCGCTGGCATTCGCGGAGCTATACCGCAGCACAGCTCGCTGGAGAGCCTTTGAGTACCTGTCACTCTGCTGCCGCCGTCTGCAGCAAGAAAACTCCCCTTCGTCCAGGGAAGACGGAAGGCAGGAGTATCCTCAATTTCCAAGAGAGATTGTGCTGTGCTGTAGCCTTAGCAACAGCAGCCTCTTAGGTGATGCATTTTGCGGGGGAACTCAGGAGTCAAAACTTTAAGGGAAAATGCAGCCCTTGTTCTCATTGCTTTGCCTTTTCAAGCCGTTCAAGGATAAACTCTACCAATAGTTTACTCAGTTGGAGGGAAGCAACTTCTGAGCTCCTTTCTCTGTTTCTTTAGTCAAGAAGGTTTTTTTTTTAAGCAAAAGTTTTGGTTTTAGTTTTTTAATTTTTTTTAACTAGTGTATGTGATCCATGAGCGTTGAAGGGAATAATTGGAAAAAAGACTGGATACTAAAAAGGCTCCCATTTTTCAGTTTGTCTATAGAAAGGAAAAAGTCTGTTTTGGTTTTTGTGCATGTGTGATTGTTTACATCTGTACTTCCCGTTTATACTGAATTTTGCAAAAAGGTTTTTGCTTTGGGGGGGATGTGTTGCAGAGCTCAAGTATGAAGATCCAGGAACATCCCGGCGTTCCTGAAGTCAAGTTGCAGAGAAACCAAGAAATAGATGCCCAGGAAGACACTTTCATATCAGAAGTGCCTCGCCTGGACCTGTCAACTTTGTGCAGTGACAACTGGGAAGGTAGGATTGCTTGCTGAGCATGAATGAGACAGCTCTTATTTCAGCAGGACTGCATATTTTACTTCTGTCTCTGACTTTATTTTTATTTTTTTATTTTATTTATTTTTTCAAGCGATTATAAGATAACAGATATAAGTATAAACGTAGTCATGAATACATGAAATGGATTTCCTTCTTGTTTCTCGGATGATAAGTGACAATTTCCCCCTGCCTATTACCGTTCAGATGTCTTCAACGTTAGCTTCTCAATCCACATGTCTGTTGAGTTGCACATCCGAAGAACATTGATCTGGGGAAAGCTAATCTGTAGAAACTAATAAACCATTTCAGTACAAGAGCTGAACCTTTGCTGGAAAAGATGCCATTTGGGACATTCTTTTAACCCAGAGAAAAAGAAAAAGAAATCGTTTTTGTCTCTTTACCTGTCGTGTTCAGTTGATTGCTAACATTTTTCAGTTTAAAGGTCTCCCTTCTGGCAAATTAGCTAAAAGATACCTTAATAAATCCCTGAGACCTTCTATGAGGAGCATATTTGTCCCTAAATTCAGATTACACACATGTGTTGTCTGAGGGAATGAAAGCTTGCTTAAGTTGGTATTTTTTGAATTCCTGCTTAACTCTGTAATTTTAAAAAAATCTGTTCCCATGTACAATATGGTTCTGTTAAGAGAATTCTCCCCAACATCTATTTAAGGATCTTAAAATCATTGATTCAACCAAAGTAAATGGATGTAACTAATGTTCTGATTTCTTTTTCTGTGTAGCAAGGCAGAGATATTTAGCATTAGCAGTTATAACTCTGATTGCATATATGAATACATACTTTTATTGTCTGCTGTGCAATAAGTGGAAATAGAATTACATTATCTTTACAAGGAAAGGGACATAGTATTAGTGTGTTTTTCCCCTAGCAAACTGTTTTGTTGGTATCCACTAATTTAAATGGCACAGAGTGCTTTAAGCCATGCTACTGAAAACAGTGATTGGAAATCTAGGTGTGGTGGATTAGAGGTGAAGCTCTTGTCTCACAATCAGGCGGCTGTGAGTTCAATCCCAGGTAGAGGCTAATATTTGCTCCTGCTTTAGCAGTGGGTTGGACTAGATGACCTCCCAGGTCCCTTCCAACTCTGTTATTCTATGTTCTAAACATTGGAAGAACGTTGCTGCCACACATTTTGGTTCTTTAGAGAGGTTAGTGCCCCTTTTTTTTCAAGCATTTAAGGACATTTTAGCACTGCATTTTTGGATTTTGGTATTTGGAGTGGAACGGAAAAGTTTTTTTCATTAATAACAGTTCCTTTCACTAGGAAGAGCCATGTATCTCAACATTGACAACTTGAAGGTTAGTGGACTTCAACTCCCAGAATTCCCCAGCTAGCAAGGGTAAAGAGTTGGATGATCTACGTGATCCCTTCCAACTCTTACATTCTGTGACTTTGTGGAAATGTACAATGTATCTTGTCTATCTGGACCAAAGCCTTTTGGAATTGATGCCAAGTTGTGTCCACATGCTATTTTTGTATCAGTTCAGAATTCTAAAGGAGGCTCAAATATACTAGCTGATATGCAAACCTGCCCCATCAGCTGCTGTAGCTACTTGTGGTGGAATATACCAGATGATACAATTTTCTTTTTACAGTTTGATAGTATATTAGATGTTCTTCCCTTAGATCTAAAGAATGCCTCCATCCACCTTTATTTCCTTATATATTCTAATTAGCTCTGCTCCAGAAAGGATTGGGTTTGTTTCTTTTTTGTGATATTTTCAAGGGTAATCTGAATAAATTTGCATTCTTTCCCTATGATTCTAGCAGTAGAGTAAAATGAAAAGTTTTTTTTTTTAAAGAATTTGGAAAGACTGCAGAATGGATGATTGTTCTCTTAATCTCTTGAAATCATTGCATTGCTTGATGCAAATTCCACTTCATGATATTTTGGAAGTGAAAGCAAGGAATACAGTTTACTTCTGAAATGTGCCGCTAATTGTTTTGGAATATGGATGAGAGAATTTATACACTACCCAGAGTCGCTTTTTTTCAGGGAGATGGCCAGTTTCTGAATGTGATATATAAATAAGTAAATAATAAAACAGAACAAAATCATGTGAAAAGAGAGGTGAGTGAACATTGGCGGCGTCAGTTATAATCTCATCTGACTATTTTGTAATCATGAACCACCGATTGACAAATCATGATACTCATGATTTAGTTGTTAGGTAGGTGAAGAGATTTAGAAGTATTTGATTTAGCCGCATGTACTCCTTGTCTTGTCTCACAACCTGAACAGTAGTATGGATTGTTCCTAATCTGAATCATGGATAATTGAACAGAGGGTTGGGATAGCATTACCCTAGACCAGGGGTGTCCAACCTTGGCAACTTTAAGACTTGTGGACTTGAACTCCCAGAGTTCCTCAGCCA